AATAATAATAATAATAATAATTATTATTATTATTATTATTATTATTATTATTATTATTATTATTATTATTATTATTATTATTATTATTATTATTACTTTCATTTCTGATTCAGATTTGTTGGCACCAACTCAGTCATACTCAGACCCACCCACCCACTGCTTTTCGAAACTCTGGAATGCCAAAGCAATATTTTGCACTTTGGAGACGTCTGATATGATTCAAATGATTCCGCTTTCTTCATTCACTTTGCATCAGTTAGGAAACTAATACAGTACTCTTGACTAATAACCTCCTTGTGATCCAGGTTTCCTGACCTCAGAATCCTGCTTGTGGAATACTTACTGTAACATCCCTTTCTTTCCCATCTTAGGTAGGACTCCACAGACCCAGGAATCATGGGAATCAAGTTGCAGTGACTTAAGGACTCCGAGTAGCTACAAGCTGTTCATTAACAGGTAAAAAAGTGCTCTTTTTTGTAATTGAAGGTGCATTCCCTAACCTGTCACTTTCCCAGTATCTTGGACTACGTAACTCACAAGCTGATGGTTCGGGTCTCTGGCTGCAGAGGTTGGGAGTTTGATTCCCCACTGTGCCTCCTTGGCAGAGACTGGACTTGATGCTCCATAGTGTCCATTCCAGCTGTGTAGTTCTAAGATAATGGTGATGATTGCTGCTGGCTGAAAAGAACTGGATTTCTTGCCCAGTGCACCTAGAAGGTGCCAGGTGGGAGAAAGCTGCACTAAAACATGATATATTCTCTGCTTTCATATGTAAAATTGTCAAATCTCTCTCTCTCTCTCTCTCTCATTCTCTCTCCTTTCCACAAATGATTGGTAATTGCCATTTAAGGCTGGAGAGAGATTTTGAGTCATAAGCGACTATTTATGCCAAGTTTATGATCACTGTCTGGTAAAACGAAGGAGGCAGGCTCATTTGTGCTGTAGCTGTCATAGAGGATGGAAGCACTCTTGGCCCTCTATAGAGATCATCATGGGTTAGTTCTAGCTCATGAATGTTCTGGATTGCTAAGGAGCCCTAGCAACCAGAAATTACAGTTTTGTGGATACTTTTGAGTGAGAAAAGCCTACTGGGATTTTCTCCCAAGTAAAGATGCAAAAGACTCTGTAATATTTCTGTATTGTTGGGGTAACTGAAATGACCGTATGTGCATATTTTTCTTTAAAGATCAGCCAGTGGCATGGATGAAATCTTAAACAGCACTCAAAAGAGCAACCGTCCACATGATGTCTTGTCTTCAGGCTCATCTTCTGCCTTTTCCATTTCTCCAAAGGATTCTTTACCAGCTCCTGCATCCTCAAGATATGTCTTCCAAAGAAAGGAGAAGGTGACGCATTACTAATATTATTGTACTCTTTTCGCCATCTGTGGAAGTTGAGAACTCCAAATGCATGGGCATCCACATTCAGCAAGAGGGGGATTCCTCCCCTTCCTCCCCTTCATTCTCCAGACTCTAGTCATAGGAATCATGTCACTGCAAAGATAAACCCTGAGTAACCTGATATTCAGGATTTGATGGTAAAATAGATGAGAGACAAGCTTCACAAGGAGATGTGGATTCTATGTTTTCACTCCAGTCACACCATTCCTTCAAAGCTACATGTCCCAGCAATCAAGCTTCTGAATGAAGCCCTTGTGTCTGAAAGAGTTAATTGTATCCCTTAAAACTCATACTGAAATATGAATGGAATATTAGAGACTGGTTGGTAATTATTCACTATTGTGGGATTCAAGGAGGGCTTTCTCAACAATGGTCTTACCTTTAAGCATGCTGGGATCCTACCTTGTTGCAAGGAGGCATCTGCCTCTCCTCCTGTCCACTCAACCACTTTCTGGCAGCTTTTATAACCCAGAAAGAGCAAGGGTTTTCCTTAGGAACAAAAGAAGAAGGAATTAAATTCCTTTTTTTTTGTCTGCTGTGGTATGATGATAAATACCACAACTCTTGCTATTTACATTTTGTTTTGTTTTGTTTGTTCAATTGTATATTAAAGGCAGATATGCATTTTAATGCCATGTCTAGTCTCACCCTGCATGAGATCAACAGAAGAATGCAGTGGTGCCTTATGAACACAGACACATTGATCATTTTTGAAAACATGTTGTCTGAATTCCACATTCTCTTCCAGTTTTCAGGTCCAGAATTCATTATTTTGTCCCATGAGCCACCAGTCACACTGCATTTACCTGGATCAATTGTGGTAAGTGTGAATCTGTTAAGCAGCTATGGATAGGACTACCAACTTGGAAAAATACACTTCAATCCTCTTTGATTCGCA